TATTCTTGGTTCACCTGTGAATAGCAGAATTGACAAACCTTTTGAATAAATCACTTGAACGGTTTAAAACGCGATATACTATTATATTTTAAACTTATTATAAGCTGTGGTCACGGGGAAGTTTCCTCGTGACCACGAAACGTCGGGCCGTAGTTGAAATAAGTTTAACTAATATATATCACGTTTTAAACCATTAAAGTGTTTTATTTTAATGTGTACTGCTCGCGTAAACTACAGACAGGATTTAGACAAACCAAATGAAAATGTATTCTCTATACAGCCTTTATTCTTTAACATAAAAAAGCGCTGGGATGTTGCTGAAACATTCCTGAACTTTGATTAATGTTTTTTTTATTAATTGAATTACATTTTTCAGTAATGTAATCATTATAGGAAGTTTGTATAAAACACTGTCTTTAACCAATTTAAATAAACATGACGGTCAATTAACAAATAACTCGTCTACTGATCTCAACTGTTCCAATAGATTATTATTTAGGGTTTTATAACTATAACATATTATCTTTATTTGAAGATAAAAATAATACATAAGACTTACACGTTAGGTTCGATTTATTTGCGTTCCAAATTTAATAAAACTTATAAAAACTAATAACGGGCATCGATGAAAACACTGAAAATCGATGGTGACGACTCGGACTCGGTAGCTCAATTGGTTAGAGCAACAACACGGAACGCTGACGATGTCGATTGATGTCCTGCCCAAGTCGTAAAATGTATTTTCGATTATAAGTGAGTATGTATGAAAGCTATGACGTGCCATGTGACTTCAAATATTTTTTCAAAATTCTACTTCTTAAGGTAAAATAGTGGACAACACCGCAAAGCTAAAGTGAGTTCGGTAAAATATATAACACTTTAAAAAAAAATAAAATGGTAAAAATTGTTTTTAATTAGTTTTACCTACGGCCTGACATTTCTATTATCACAAACTACCGACATATACATATTTTGCTTCGCTGACCACTTAATAGTTAAAGTTATAGAGAAGTTATGATCATCTAGAAGTCGCTATCAAGAATTTACGTTAGTGAAAGGGTTACCTATGGTATCTTGGGGTAATTTATATGTCCGTTCAGACCCTAGCGGTTTGAATTCGATATCCGATTGCGAGTGAATAATGTATATGAGGTAGAAATCCGCTCCGTCTGGCAGTTTATTAAACGGACCAAGTAATGTCTGTTATTTCCTGAGTATAATAATATTTTGCATTGGACGGTACTACGCTGTTTATTCGGTTATTGTGCTGTAACTGAAAAATATACAGAGATATTTCTTGTATATCCTTTGGTGACTATAAAAGATTTGAAGTTGTTTATTATTATTATAGATCAGTTATTGGAATATTTAAAGAGCGAGAGTTCTGGGTTCGAATATTGGAGAACATAATTATGCGTTAAAAACTTTAATATTTTTTAACATGTTATTGCACATGATGGCACTATATAGATGAATCTACATAATTTCCGTTTCGATATCAGAATTTGTCTTTGGAAAATGATATATAATTCTTCTCTTTTCTTTAAAAAAAGAATCGCTTCCAATTAGTTATAGTTTTAAGATAATTTTAATAATAAAAATTTTTGAAGTTATTAATTATAATGATAAATAAAAATATAAAAAACAATAGGTAAATAAAATCCAATTAATAAATAATAAAAAAAAAATATAATTATTTAAATAAAAAAAAATAAAAATAAAAGAAATACATTTTACAGCTTCAAATTATAGATGACATAAGGACATTCGTACAACGCTTAGTATATCTGCAATATTACTACCGCTACTAGTTCAATAATCCTGTAAAATATATTCATACATCATCTTCAATATGATAAAGGAGCCTCGCTAATAAATTGGAGCAAAGAATACGTCTGTATTCAAAGTGAAGAGGCCTTTCATAATATTCCTAGCTTACCGAACCGTATTTTTTTGTTAGGATAAAAATTGCCGGTCCCTCCTTCGATTTATCGATGTCGAGTAATTTCTAACGAGACACAATCGAAACTAACGAGGTATTAACTTGTTATATTGAAAGTTCTTGCAGGATGTAATAATATCAAATAACTAGTTGTGGCCGCAACTTCGTCTGCGTGGAATAGTTATCTTGGCCATCAAAATTTGTTTTGGTATTCTCCTCATCTTTATATAATAGCTGTTACCAATGAAGTCATCTATGTTCGTTGTTCTTGTAAATTTATCTTAAAAGACAGACATAAACTGTCGTGAACTTTTTTGTGATCTATTAAAGAGGTAGATATATTTTTTTCAGTAATTGGTTTTTAGGGGTTTTATAACCCAGTGGTAGCAATATATGCCTAACATTTAAATAAAACACTTTAACGGTTTAAAACGCTATATATTAGTTAAACTTATTTGTTAATTTATAAGTTGTTAAATAAGTTTAACTAATATATCGCGTTTTAAACCGTTAAAGTGTTTTATTTAAATGTGTACTACTCGCGTAAACTATGGACAGTATATGTCTAACAATCAAATACGGTCTAATACCAACGGATACTGTTCCCTACAGTCTTTTTAAATTAATTTAACGTTTGAAAATGTGGACTATTGTTGATAGGTTCTGTCCGCGCTACGAAAGTGGAAAGTTGCGTTTCAATATCAATCAGAGAGTTTAAAAAAAAAATAGTTCGACAGCACATCTTAATAAGAAGTTACAGGGCAAGTAACCTTATATCAATTAAAAAGTAAAAATGGATCTCAAATACACAATAGTTGAAACGTTTAATTAAAGCTTCGTTATTCTTAACCAACATCGAAATATACTTTACAGAAATTAATAAAATATTTTGTTTTCAATTACGTTATACTAAATTGTTTTATACAATAGAGATAATATTTATCCATCCATTGTTTGAAGTACAGTGAATGCCTGATAAGTAATTTTTAAAACCTGAAAATTTTAAAGCTATTAATTATATTTTTCAGGAAATTGCAAGTCAATAAAATCGTAACATACAGCACTCATTGTGATCAATGACAACTCCTTTCCACTTATAGTTTTAATGCCGAATTCTTTCGTCATAAATATTGTTATAATGTAGTACGCTTTACGGTCCTTTAATCTTAATTTCGTCCATTCGAAATTTAAAAGTGCCAGTTTTACTTCGTTCATCTGTAAATAGCAAAAAAATCACACTTAACGCACAGTAGCATCTTTAGTTCGTGTTGGGCACAATCGAGTATATATAAAATCTTCATTTATTAAACAGCCAACAGAGCTTTACAAGATATAAATCTCTGTTGAGTGTTGTTAGTTGAGTTAATAATATACCAAGAGATTTGGCGTTGTATGTAGGCCATGGGTCGAACACATTTCTGTGTCTGCTTTACTGACATTAAAAAAACAATTTATAATTTTTCTGAAACATATTTGACATCATCTGGAAGTCTGGATTTCATATGGTAGGTAGAAATATCGCAATTCCGTCCGGTTCAAGATCCACCGTTTACAAATAAAAAAATCTGCGTAGTTTAATCGCGTTTCGATTTTAGTCTGAGGAATTTTTGAATATCGAAAACCAAGATCGACATCGCATCTTGTTTAGAGAACCCCACGCTTGTCTGTCCTTCTCTATCTTAAAAGAAGGAAGCCAGTTCATTGATGATGATGTACAAATTACAGTATAATAGCTTTTCATACAATAAATTCCAATAAAACCGTAATTGAAATCAGAAAATACACGAAATAAAAAACACAATTAAGCACTAAACAAAATAGGAACCGACCTTCGTTTTAATCTGCTCCCCAAACCAATTGTAAGCGAAAATCTCTGCAAACATTGGGAGCATGTGTGGTGCGAAACGCCAGTTTATTTCCTAAAAACAAGGTGTAAAAACGTTAACGATTATACCTCTTGTGTTATCAGCTTTAGATCTTAAACTGTATTACAAAGTATTATATCAAATACTGTCTGTAGTTTACGCGAGTACTACACATTTAAAGAAATCACTTTAACGGTTTAAAACGCGATATGTATTATTTAAAAATAAAATTCGACTGGGCAGGATTTGAACCCAGTAGTGTCCGTGCTGTTGTTTTTTTTCAATTATTTTAAAATATAAGTGCTTCATTACAACTTCATTAACCTTAAAAAATAATATATTTTCACAATATATTAAAACTTATTTAAAATTAAATTTTTAAAAAATAATATATCTTATATTGTAGTGTATTTTTTTTAATTTTTATATTATTTACGGCAGATAAAAGATAGATCTTTGGTTTCTCTCTATATCAAAAGTTTCCAACATAAAGAATATATATGCTTTGTTTAATTTTATCAGCAGGTAAGTATCTAAGTTTTTTGTTGTATTATTTTGTGTCAATAAAGAATATTTGTATTTGTAAGTATTGTCAGGATCTATCTGGACTCAAATCTAGGGCTATTGCGTTTTTACAGCTACTGTACCTAGCCTACTTATAAGCACAGTGTTAATAAACACATCAAATAAACTTACTTTACTCATTAACAATAAATTAAGGCATATACACATAGCGCCATTGACCAAAGGTATAACAGACGATATCTTGTACATTTTTATTAAACACAGTAAGTACCTGGAACATAAAAAATAATTAAGCACTAAAGGTTAATTGTTAAGGAAAAGACTGAAATTTTGCGTTCAGCCGGCCATGTTTTCTTAGCATATTCTGAGCAATTTATACAAATCATACTTTTTCATAATTTCTTACGTTATACTTAGTTACGTAATGCTTTGTGGTAATAATCTATGTCGCTTACAATTTAAATATTAAATATCTTAACATTTGATTAATTTTCAGCATCAGTGTCACGGGGAGAAACTCGAAACGAACGTTAAACAAACATGTCCAAATACAGCACTAATAAATCGTGTTTTTAAACCGTTACAAGATGTTTTATTTAAACGTTTTATTTTATGTTTCCAACGTACCAAAGTAATTAAGAAAATAAGCTACAGATACACAATTATACTCACTGATTCAACTTTAAATGCGTCTTATAAAAATTACGTAAAGTCTTATTAAGATGATCAGCATCATCTTCGCTGTGTAAATCATTTTGCCTCCCATTAAGCATGACAACTAGTCCATCAAATGCAGCGCATAAGAAAAAAAGCAATAACACAAACCACAAATCCAATATAATCGTACTACTAATTTCGAATAGGAATATTGTATGCAAGAACCAAGCTACTTCGTAGAACGGAGTGGACATGGGCATTAAGATCATTGTAGATCTCGATAGGAGAATTCGCGTTCCAACTATGTAATTCCATAGAGTTGTTAGTTCGTATGTAGAAACTGGCAAAATAACCATGCAGAATAATAGATACACAATTCTGTTTCCAGTTTTGATAATGTTTTTGACATCAGCTTCAGCATTCTTCCGTATTACGTCCATGAGTGTGTCCTTCACAGATGCATACAGGTCCCGAAATATAAATCTATTGTTTATGAATAATACCATTTTTATTGGGAATATAATAATCATTATTATTGTGTAATACGCTTCCGCCTCCAACTCCGTATCGTCTGTTAATTTAAGACACTCTAAAGTTCCAACTAAAACGTAAATAAAGAGGAACAAATTCAATAGCTGGTGCACGAAGTACTTTTTCCACGTCCAATTTGGGTTTAGCACATTTTGTCCGAAAAAACTTTGAAAGAGAAAAGCTGGGAGGCACATGCTGTCGATCTCATTGCGTGGACCTACGGATTGTCTATATTTTGAAAGATATTTACTACGTAACTTCATTTTTGAAATAAACTCGCAAAAATTTACATCGTAAACCTGTTCTAGCATGGGCCTTTAAACTGAAATGTACAGTTATTATCAAAAGTGATTTGAATGAAATTAATACTAAGATTTAGATTTTATAACACTCTGTCCGTTATATAATATTCACCAAACTTATAAATAATTTAAGAACGATAGAAAACCTGAGGTAGAATCGAAGCCACGAACAATTGCGTACCACGCCGTTGAAACATCTGTAGTCTTATATATTTTTTTGTATCTGAATACACCATAGTTAATATTTACTAAATTGGAATCGATTGTACCAATAAAATCAAAGTCATCATTATGGCTAATTAATCTTTTGCCACCTTCTGTTTTCGAGTAATTACCAACTATTACCTATTTCATCAATTACGTAATAACTAGTTAAAGAAGGGTTTAAGTTACGTTCTGAATTCGACCCTATCGTAATTATGACAAAGATTGTTTTACATTTTCATCGCATAACAAAAATATAAACGTTTTCTATGAAAGAAACTAAAATCCATTTGAGTAATTGAACGTTTAAGTGCTGCAATGATATTTTATGGCCAATAAAACATTCATTTAGAAAACTGAATTATGGGAGCGTTGCGTTTTAAAGCCATTTACAAATTGTATTTTTAAATCCGGAAACAAACATTAAAGTTACTAATTTAATAGATTTGTTGCTGCTTTGTTGATTTAGTGGTCAATACGTTCGACTGAAAATCAATGCGATTAATTTAAGTATTATTTCGTATTTGGAACGATACTAAATGTGTCTAAAACCAACTCGAAAAATATAGGTGTCATCAAATTTGTGTCTTAAGTCATCCGCTCTGTGTATTGATGGTAAAAATAGACCTTAATTTTAGGTGTAAACTCTTAAACCCCCTTTTATAAGATAGGAGCTATGTGCTCAGGTGAAAAATTATATACTAAATCAAAACTTAAAGATATATAATCTTCGAATGGATTTTATGTTATCTTCATAACGTCTGCTATTGCCAAACTTTTAGTCGCAAATGATAATTCTTCCGTTATTCTGTGTACACGTAAGATAATGTACAAGAATCCTATTAAAATGGTATTGTTTGTTCAGGGTCTTACTTATATTTTATTTTTCAAGTTAAAATCTAAAGTACAATACACGGACAGACTGATTTCCGCTATTGAAATATTTTATTATAACTCTATGCAATAACTAATATTGTTAAGATAAAACAATGTATTTAGTAAAGTGTGATCTGCTTTATTTGTTTTGAATTATGAGCTATAATACACGAAACAATAATATGTTAAATGTTTAATACTGCCTTTAGTTTACACAAATTTAAATAAAACACTTTAAGATTAACGCGATATATAGTTAAACTTATTTGAAAATGATTTTTAACTTCGGCCCGACGTTTCGGATGCTTTGCAGCAGCTTTCATTTTCGAATAAGTTTAACTACTAAATCGTGTTTTTAACCGTTATAGTGTTTTATTTAAATGTTAAATGTGTCTTTAGTTAGTGTCACCCCGTGAAGAACACAACGTTGGGTTGTAGTTTAAAAGTTAAATGAAGTAATATATTTAATAATACACTTTAAGGTTTAAAACGCGATATAGTAGTTAAACTTATTTGAAAATATTTTACTTCTGCCGGCTTGGATGTTTGCAGCAGCCGGGGTCAGGGGAAACTAATATATCGTTTTTAAACGTTAAATTTTTGTGAAACTACTCGCGTAAACTATAGACAGTATTGAACTAATATAATTTACGTTTTATTATTATTAAAAGGGCTAAATAAAACAACGTTCAGAAGTATAGTAAAAGTTTATATAAGTAAATTATAGCATTTTCGTAGATAATATAACTAGCACAGTGTCTGAAGTATAATATTGTATTGTGAGCATATAAAGATAGACTAGCTTATGACTTTATCAAGATGAATGAACGACTATTGTACGGGCGATACATCAATTCTTCCCCTTATTGGCATATCTCCCGTACGTCTTAATGTGCAACATTTATCAGTTCAATTTTTATTAAAAATCTCCATTATCCAAGTTACGATTAATATCTAATTTGGTTAAGTCGCTTGTGCGTTCGCGAATCTCTAAGCTCCAATAGTGCGGTGAAGCCCTAAATTACCATGTGTAAACTTCCCCAAGTTTACACAATACATTTTATAAGAGGGATTTAAACTATTATAATTCACAACTCTTCCATAGCTACTATACCAAAAACTGATACTCTATCCTTTAGTCTATAAATTATCTGAAAAGCGAATGAGAAGCTACCATCTGTCGATACGATTCGTTCCCCAAAAGTAACTTCAGGTCACTCCTAGCTGGAGGTGGTCCCCAAAAATAGATCTAACTTATACCACTTATTTAAAAACGATCTAACTAGACTAAGGCATTCCAAAACACTAGCGTAAACTTATGAGAGATTCAAAGACTTAATGATTATCATCTAAGCTAATAATAGACTTTAAATTACCTACAGAATGCTAAAAAGCGAATTCGTCAAAGCTAAAAAAGCTAAAAGTTCCTTTTATAACTATATAATATCGTTGGATTAATATATGGTGCTCTATGCTTTTAAAAGTGATTTTTAAACTGTAAAATGTGATAACTATTTTATAATCATTTATTAATTCTATTATTGTATCTTAGTCTAATTATTTTATGTTGGTACATTATAGATTCAAGATTTAAGCTTTTCTTTAATAGGCACTTTTAAATGGTGACGTACATAGAACCACGTCTGTACTGAATTGCTACGTGACAGCAAGTCTTATACAAAAAGCTTTTATATAAAAGCGCCAGATAAACTTTATCACAAAGTTTTAATAATTTGGACATATTATAAATAATTTGAAGTGCTCATATCCTTAATTGAACCAGCACTTTTGTACTACGCGTTTGATATACTTTCTTATTTTTTTTATGCGTCTGGTGGACGAATCTCAACAGTAACTGAGGTTGGGCCCGTCGTGTTCGGTGACCGGAGCGTTGCTGACCTTAGGGATGTACCGGAATGTCCGCTGCTTGCTTTAGAACCACGCCGAGAACCTGCCATACCAAGAAATCATAACAAAATACGTTTCAAAACCCATCACTGCTCTCATGCGGTCTATAAAACCTTCGCACGCAAATCTATGCAAAATACAGTGATAGATAAAATAAAGAATATTATTTATTTCTCAAGGTAATTTTTTAATCATGCACTGTGTGGAAATATTGTATCGTCCCAAACTATTCCTAAAGAAAGCAAGCTTTTCAAAAAGGTTTATTTACTGTGTCTATTAAAATTTATGGTAAAACCATGCTCAAGTAATCCTAAGTCACAACTTTATTGTGACTACTATGTTCCGAATTACTTAAAGTAACTTTTTTTAAGCGAACTTGTATTACATTATTGTTTAAAGAAAGTTGTACTGTACACTTTCTAAAATACTGGTCACGATGAGATCTTTCTTTGAAATTATAAAGAAATGTAAGATTTACAGAGATGAGGTGAGAGAGAGGTGTTGACTACATAAAATATAAATTTAAAGTTTTCATTCGGTTCTGTGTACTTTATACATTTATTTTATTCTTTTTTATTTTACTAAAATGATATTACATAATCTCTATTAATTTCAAGTTAATAAATTGTGTCAGGCTTTCACGGCCATCGTTCAGCATATCATTTTTTTTCGAGCTGTTGGGCCAACATGATCGAGAAGAGGTTCATTAGGATCCTGATAATGCCGCTTGTGGTGGCGAAACGTCTAGAACCTCTTCTTGCTCACGTTTGCCGGACAGCCCGAAAAACAATGATATGCTAAATTTCAAGTTATCCTAAAAATTAATTAAAACTACAATTTCAAATATACCACACTCTTCAGCATTGCCGCTTATGGGCCACAACCACATAACACCAGCATATTATTCAGAAACTTTTTAAATGGTGTACTGTAGGTTGCCGCTAGAGTGCGCCGCTTACGCTAGTGTTCTATGTCTGTGGCCAAACCGTGAAATCCAAAATCATGCCAACAAATAGTGATGTTCCTCTCTATAATCAAGCAAATTTAAAATATTAGGTAACCTGAGTGTTTTCGGTGTAGCTGATGGCTTTGGTGAGGGCGTGCTGTTGGTAGATGAAAATGTATGAATTACACAATGAATACAACGTACACCGGTAGAAGGAACGTGCAGAAGGCATGATGTGATAAAACAAAGTATTAATCGACATTCACTTTTATTGTTATCATTTAATTCTCCCAAATTTCATTGGCGTGACCACCGACTAGCTCCCTAAAGCGTAGGAAGAATGTTCATGAATAAATTTCATAGATCAATGATTTAATTACAAATTAAACTTTATTATATGTACGTTGATTAAAATATTTTACTAATTTCTATTATTTCAACAAAAATACTTTGTATTTACCAATCCATCATTCATGAAAGCACATTGATAAATAAAATGTTTACGTCTTCAATGGTTTTCGTAAACGAAACTTCACGGTACATATTGGAATACTTTTATTTTTTGGATATATTCTGTTGGAATTAAAGGAGAGCATATCTTAGATAATTGTAGGCATAGTGAAGAATAAGACAGTTAAGATGTTACATAGAAGCTTAGCTGAAGCTTAAAAGTAAAGAGAAAAAAGAAGTAGAAGAAAGAGATGGAAATCACAAGAAATGTTTTTAATAATATACTTTCTTACTCTCAATACAACTGCAACTTGATAACATGTTTATAATTACGCCACCTTCTGGCATTTTTAAGTACTATTTTTTCTCTAACAGAACATTAGCGCCACCTAGCGGCCGAGGTGTATATTACCAAAAACACCTCATTTTCAGTTGTATAAAGGTTTATAAGTAAAATATCTATCACCTGGTATAGGCGAATGTGGTCTGAGTTCCTGTTGACTAGCTTGTCTTGATGGAGGTCGAACGCTTACACGGGAACCTCGGCGATCCTTTTAAAGTTTAGTAAACGTTATTTAAAATGCGAAAGATGAAAAAGAGAAGTTTTTATTGCGTTTTTCGGCTTCAGTCTGTGGACTTCCGAATATCCAAAACCACATTAGGTCGACGCAATACATGGCTGTGTTATTTCACCTAGCATCAAGTGAACCGTTTGCTTATCTGTTTTCCTCAATCTTAAAAAAAGAAGTAAAATTTATAGTTCATGAACTGCAAAACCAATTTCAACAATTGACACATTGGATTTAATAAAAATCCTTAGATTGTAATAAATAAAGCGCACTGTATGCCTAAAACAGACTCAGAGGGTATTTTATTTAATTCGTTTTTGTTAGTTCCAACGCCAATCAACTCATTTTATATATAATTAGTACAGCTTAAGGATAGCTTTAACTTATTTATAGAAAAATATAAAACCTAGTATCATACCTGCGAATGTAAAAGCTTTGAATCTCTTAATAGGGACACATTCATTAGTCGGGGATTTGGTGTGTTGAAAATCGTTCTGTTCTCCCGCCATCGCGCACTGCAAAAAATAAACTCTTACACAGAAGTACTATATGATACAATAATCTTTGTTTTAGCAGTGAGTACAAAGTTATAGTTTCTCCGCTCCTGTATGCAACTCGCTAACTTATGTAATAAAAACCTAGCTATATTTAGTTTACCAATTAAATTTTTTTGTTAGATGACATAAATTGACTCAGAAAGGATCTGAACTCACGATCACAGCGTTTCATGCTCTACCAATTGAGTAATTAAATTATTTCACTTACCGACTAAAGAGTCTCAAGACAACACAAATGATGACAAACATAAGCGCCATGCCAACTAGTACACCAATCATCGCCGGGTCCAAAGTCTTAGTTGATATTTCTATTTCCTTTTCAGCTGAAATTCATACATTACAATCAGTAACTGTAATTTAATTCAAATTTCTTCAAACAATTGATACAGATTTTTTAACACCCAAAAAAACGTTGAGAAGCCAACTTAATAGTAATGAAAAATCTATCTCATCTAGTGTTTTTTTTGTGCTACCCTCGATTGACATGTCGGTTGTTTTAATTTTGTTTATAACAATATATAAAAATAAACGTAGTTTTAACATAGCATGCGCAATGACACTACTTTAATATTTATCCACTGTTCGAAACGTAGGCGAGCATAAATCAGTGAGCCACGAAGGTTTTATTCGTAAACTTAATAAAGCTAAAGAAAGAAGATATTCAACTTACGGTTGCATACTATGCCGCCATCCACAGATACCTCTGCGACCAACTCGTATTTGCAAACGCATCTCTCGTTCCTACATTCGGTTTTGAACACAACATCTTCACACTGTTCGTTGAAAATACAGCTTTCGTTGATCCCAGCAGCTGGAAACATAAGCATAGAGTTTGTAAAACATTGACTACATCCTTTGCGGCTATGTATACAGGTTTCGAGTTGTTCAGCCATAGCTATTGAAGAAGCGAAGCCCGAAGATGACTCTTTGCTTCTTTGAGAAAAGCTTATGTAGAGCTATTTTTTTCTTCTCCTGATTATGTCTAGATAGTTCGAAAACTATGTAACTTCGTTTAGTTTATAAGTCTATATATAAACCAAACATTTCTGATTGAATTTTTATAAATTCAAGGTTTTCAATACGGTAAAGAAACGATTAATAGAAAAATAAAAAATCTGGCCAAGATGTAACACACAGATGGAAGCGCCGTTTTGGTTTTATTCTGTCAAATTTCAAATGTCTAAAGCAAAAAATACGTCTATAGATTATCTTATTTAAGTAAATTTATTAATTATTAGACAAATTTAGGTGAAAGTAAAATTTCCTGATGAAGTCCAACTTTAAAAAAACTTTTGAGCTGATTAGAAAATTTGTTGGATCCGGTGAGCGATTGAGCCCAGGATTCATTGATTATTAGCACCACATTGCTACCGTTATACCAAGCCCGTAATATATAATAATCCTTGGTAGCATTATATTATATACCCTTCATATTTCACGCTTTTAGGATTCAAGACCCCAGAGACGCCACTGCATTGGATCGATGTAACCCAAAGTTTCAAATCGCATGTCGTCCCCACGTCAGTGCTTTGTTCTGACAATAATTACTTGCACAACGCTATTTATAACAGACTGTGTTATCGTGTTAAATTCTGAAGGACTTCAAAATAATTAGCTTGAAAGCTGTTTAAATAAGAAATAGCGGTCGAAGTGTACATTTTACCCTTATTTGTTGCAGTATCGTATAATTAGGATTCATAAATTCCAATAAAATATTGAATTTACACTTATTTTCATACTTGCACACACAATTATATAATATAAAGTTAGTGAGAGACTTACTAAAAACCTAGAAAAAAAAGGTAGTCTATTTGTTGGTATGTTGTATTTATTTGTTTATTAATTGCATTAATTTTTCACATGAATAAAAGTCCTTCTTTCAGGCTTTAATATAACAATTTTCTTCAAGAAAAATAATATTTTTGAAGAAAGTAATGTTTGAACAAATTATCCTGACATATAAAGAGAAGATTTTTTTATAAACTAAAAATCGATTTCATATTATAAAAAATATGTCACGGCCAGTACTTGAACCGGCATCCACAACGTTCCGTGCTGTTGCTCTAACTATTTTTTACTTTATAAACTGTAACTTTAATTTTTCACATATCGGCCCAGGGCACGAAAATTTAACAGTTATTAAAACTTCGTGTCTACTTTTTATCTTAATATTTTAAACTTACGAGCATTTGAAGTATTAATGATTTTAATTTGTGAAAGTTAAAAATTTGATCACAGCTTTATATACAATATCTTTTTCATATCGTTCTAAGCTCATACAATTTTCTATGAAAAAGCCCACCTGTGCCAGGGTGATTGTGTACCTTCAGTAGCTATATCGAACCCTCCTCGTTTGTAAATATTGGATGTTTCTATTGCGTTGCTGACGGTACTGTTACATATTATGTTCGCGTAAATGTACTGCGTAAAACATGTGATGTATGTAACCATTTTTGTTATCATAGTTTTTTATCGATGTTTCATCACGTTTGTAAATGTATCTACTTTTACAGTATACATAGATAGGTAAGTGAAAGCCAGATGTTGTTTGAGCACGTAGACACCGCTTTTACAACACAGATCCAAATAGCTTGGTTGTTAAAAAAATCTGACCATTAGTCACTAGGATCAAATCTAGACCTTGACGAAAGGCATTTACATCTAAACCATAGCGACTTAGCATATAATCGCACCTTACCTATACTGATATATAAAGCTGCAAAGTTTGTTTAAATGAGCTAATCTCAGGAATTACTGGTTGTAATTGAAACGTTGGTTTGAAAATTTATCGAGTAAGGCTATAAAATATCATGCTACGAAAACGGTTTACGATACAAAAAAAAATATGTATAAAAACGAAATAAGGAATTATTAAATGATGTAGAAAAAAAATACGCGACACAAGACATAAGTACAGTGGGAGCGACAGACGCCGTGGGCAGCTATAATTTTGATTGAGTTAATAAAGATGAGAAGGAGATTTTCAAAAACAAATTTTGTTGCCCAAAATAATAATTCTACGCAGACGAAGTCGCTGTCACTAATAAAATTATTATCCGTTAATATATGCGCATGAACACATATCCATCCTTTAAAAATTACGTCGCATTTTTTCAGTAATAATTCAACTTGCATAATTATGTTAATTGCTGTAACGGTAGGCATTCAAGAGAACTCTACCAGCTGACGCATTTACATATAAAAATCAATAAAGTACCAGTAAATGCATCGTGTTCCTTTTAGTATAAATGAATTAATTCAATTACAAGTATTATCGTAATTCAATCAAATTTCTCTCTATGCGAGTACCACTGCGTATTATGAAGAATGTAGGTGTTTTGACGGGCACGTTCATGTAATGTCACAAGTCGTGGGTTCTCCTCCGATCCCCACCGGATCCAACATTGTTCTTATTAATGTATAATGTTTCATAAACATGTTGGACTTCGTCTCAAATTCTGGATATAAAATGGGTGTAAAGAATATCGAATCTCCGTGTGGGTAACACACACCGTCACAGATGACAAATCCTTGAAGTTTAATGACGTTTCGGTTTCAGTGTGGACTTCCAAAGCCAATATAGGTCGAAAACGCATTTCGTTTAGATGCTATAGGTTGAGGTATTTCACCTACAATCAACCAATGCAACCAATGGCCACCAAGTGGCCTGAACAGCTTTATTACCACATTTATAAACGATAAAGTCAGAAAAAAATTACATAAACATGACAAATAAAAAAGACTTAATCTTTTTAGCGAAATCATGAAGTTCAGTTATTTCATAAATTTTTTATAGGTAGAATATTACTGAAAAAATGTAAATAAAACTGATGCAAAGTATCCAAAACGTCGGACAGTGGTAAAGGTAAAAAGGTAAATGACTTTACCTAAAACATTTCGCGTTTAAAACATTTAAAAGTGTTTTCTTTAAATGCGTTCATAAAGTAAATCTTCATAAAGTTTTACTGCCAATAATTAACATTTTTACTGGAACGTTATTATAGCAATCACAGTCTTAAAATTTTGCAAATATGGATGTACGAGAACTTTGTTTATTAATTATAAAAGTGCTATTGTTAAAAAAATACAATTGACACAATATTTGTCTAGCACTACACAAATGAATAACAATCATACATAGTCCCTGAATATGTTAATATAAGCAGGATATTAGAGAAATTATAATTGATTAAACTTACGTTTTCCGCACTTGTCAACGTGGTTCGTAACTGGCACATCTGGGTGGCAACGGCAGATCTTATGCACTTCATCACACACTGATTCGGGAAAACCACACTCCATCACCGTCGAGCAAGTGTCGCCATACATCATTTTCCCTCGCTTTGAGGGATCTGGAAAATATTTTTAAATTCTTCTGAAAAATTCTGCTATCTTAAAGATATCGAAGAAATTAAGGAAAGATGCTTATTTTCTTAACATATAGATTCCTAAAGAGGTTCAGTTTCCGTCAACTTTATAATTTAAATCTTTATTATTCTGCATTCATCTTATACGATTTTTTTAACACTAATTGTGATAAAAAAAATCGTTGTTATCGTATTCATTTTTGTTCCTAACTAAAATTTGTATTATTGTTTTTTGAGCTATTAGTCAGTTAGCAATATCTGTTTTATCGTGGTAATGAAATTCTAATTAAACCAGTGGTTAAACCAATAATGATGGCCTCTAACTTGAAGGAGGTTTTATATTTTTATTAATAAAAATATGGATAATGTCAATTGTCAAATTAATATAGAAAAGTCAACAATTTAGACGGAAGAATTTAAACCGGATTATTAGGGACGTAGCGATCCAATGAATAGTCTTAAATGTTATATTTGTAATTATTTACCCTTTTTTATTGTATAAATATATATATTTTTTTGTTAATTTTGTCTTTAATGTGCCGTAAAAGTTCTTAACTTACTTTAAACTTACCGTATTCTCTTGTAAGAGCCAAGTATAAGTCATGAATATAAATATACACATTATATAATCTTTAGTTATAGTTACCGAACACAGCGACGGTTGTGACGTCCAGCTCGGCCGAGGCGGTTGCAAGCGCCAGCAGCGCCGACAGCGCGGCGAGCATGGCCCGCCAGCACCGCTTGGCCCGCATGCCGCTTAAAGCGCCCCCGTCACATTCCAAGTCGCCTACGCAAATACAAAATATAAACCTCACAGATTAAAACAACAGAATAAATAAAAAAAAAACATACTTAATACTTTATACGTTTGAATACGTAAATGTATGATTTAATTTATTTTAACAGCGCTACCTTTTATAAATCACATTAAACGTCAGGCAACTTGAAACTCATTTCCACTATGCACAAAGTACAAACAGATTGTGAACATCAATACAATTAAGATTGTGGACAAACGGGACTCATAATTTACAATACTTAAATTAAAGATTTAAAACAAACGAGAAAGTAAAGGCATCCGCAGAAATAAATTTTCCATTATTTATGTATATGTTCCATTACTAGCACAGAATTAACAGTTTATTTACATTTAACTTGTGTAGTTTAGGCGATAATTTAAACAGAGAGTGAAATCCCGTTACCCCTCCTGGGGCGTGGGGCGAACACATTTCTGTCGCCGTTTCACTGATTCGTTCTTTTTAACAGGCAAGTAGTTGATAAGACTTCTATGCCCTACCCTGCCGGAACAACTTTTTTTTGTTCCCCTGGGATTCGAACCCCGGATCTCTCTCGTATAACGCAATGCCAGGCAATACGTTTAACCATTTAGCGGTGTGAGAGCACGAGGCGGTTTTCTTATCAAAACTGAAACGCTCGTCACAGTTTATCCTACACTAAACAATTCGGCCCTTTACAAACTTATTGTTTAATATCTATTTTAAGTGCCCAATATATAGTTACAATAACTAACCTTCGTAAGCAAAAACGTCTTAAGCTAGAGTGTTCATGGGTTTGAATCCCGGTAAAACATGCTTTTAGTAGACAAGTTCAATTTGGCTGCAAAAAAATTGTTCAGTAAAATACACACAGCAAAGTAAATTGCAGCAAATTATAATACGTTAAATCAATCAATTTGATAGCATTTAACGTATTAATCCTTAAATAAAAATAATGTAATATGTTACTCTACATTATAAAGAATTTTTAGTTATTAACTCGAAGAAAACAATACGTATATCACAACTACAAATCCTTTGTATAGTTGTGAATACATTTAACGATGATTTGGGAAAAATAATTGTTATACTAATAATTGATTGACACAATTATTTTCCATATAGGTCTGTAATCAAGCTGATTCTTATCTCATTTAATAACACACTGAAGTTTTTCGTCTGACTTGTAATTGGTCAAAGCCGCATAAAGTAAGTGTAATTAAGAAGGTAAACATTCCCGAGTTGAAAGTCAAATTAATTAAATCAACAACATTCTCACTATGACAACAATTTTTAGAAGTTTACTCATATTTTAATACTGTATATTTTAATATTAAACAGTGTCTGTAGTTTACGCTAGTAGTACACATTTCAATAAAACACTTTAAGGTTTAAAATGCGAATATATTAGTTAAACTTATTTGAAAATGATTTTTAACTTCGGCCCGACGTTCGGTGCTTTGCAGCAGCCGTGGTCACGGGGAGACTACTAACACCCGAACGAGAAAATATATCTTAAATATTGCTTGTTGCAAAGGACTATCAGATTTTATTTTATTCCTGGTATCCGAACCCGGGATCCTTAACGTAATGCTAGATAATTTTTTTTACCATTGTGCTTCAGTGCTCTTTTGTTTTATATATTTAACTTTAATCATCGAAGAGTTAAGTTAAATCCCTGTTGAAACACTCCGGGTATGGCAAACCAAAATTTTAATAATATAATCTCTTTGAACCTTTTATTAAACCCCTCATCAAAGGAGGGGATTTTCGTTTAAAAGCTTTTATGTAATTTTGTCTATTTGACTGACGTAAGACTGGCGTAAATAAACCAGAGAAGTACAAGATCTAGTTCGAATCTTAAGTAATAATTGCGGCGGGTAGATGATTGATCAACGGCGGATTGATCAATGGCGGATTGATCAACTTACCTGAAAATAAATTCGATCAGCAAAACGGACACAAATATGTCTGCCCATTCGAAACGAAATTTCATACATGTTTATATAAATAACATTTATGAAATGCTGTAGGATTCATATGTTATTTTAGATGTATCTATGTATTGGAGTTATTTCAATGATTGTTCAGCTTTAGAAACTGACAATTTTATAAAGATTGGCGTAATATTATACCGTCCTCACTGTGTTCTAGCTTGATATATATTTCGCAGAGACGTATAAAAGCAATTTTGACGCTGCGAAACAAGATCGTCTAAAGTATACGTCTTTGCTTACTTAACTATATGCTTATTTTATATTATTTACGTATTGTGCATATACGCAATTATACTTTACGGCTTTTAAATAAAACACTTTAACGGTTTAAAACGCGATTTATCAGTTAAACTTATTTGAAAATTATTTTCAACTTCGCCCCGTATACGTTTAATTTTCAAATTAGTTTAACTAATATATCGCGTTTTAAACCGTTAAAGTGTTTTATTTAAATGTATAGTACTCGCGTAACTATAGACAGTAGGTACTTTACGGCTTTATCATCTGTGGACGGTGGATCTGAGCCGGACGAAATTTTCGATTTCCTCCCCCCAATTAGTTATTAATATCCAGATTTCCAACATGTTTCAGAAAATGTGGGGATCGAACCCAAGACCCGTTGCCTATTAATCATACATTGCTTTACTTTATACCATTATTGAATGATTATTTAATTTGTTTTTAAAATAATTTTTAATTTAGATTTTTACTTATTCCGTCTCTCGTGTTCGGAGTTCGAGAATATCGATCGTTTATAATCAGCGAAAAACAATAATATGTCTAACTCAGCCACGGTCACTTCTACTACACGTCTACATACATTACAATAACTAAGTTTGAATAAACAAAAACTCTCTATAACTTATTAAGTATTGTACTCAAAATAGTTAAAAAACGCTTAAACAAACAATATTATCTTTAAATAAAAGCTTTTAACAATATTAAGCGCGTATCCTTTGTAGCAGCCATGGTCAAAGGGGGACTGAATATGGAGGTTATCCCTAGTGTCAAAGTCAATTCTGCTACACCAGCGCCATCTTCTCGATTAATTGTAAATAAGGTAACTAATATGTCTCGCCTTTTAAACTGTTAAAAGTGTTATTTAAATGTATACTACTCGCGTAAACTACAACCAATAACAACGACTAGGTAATACATATTATATAATATAATAATTATACATAATTTTTGCTCGCTATCATAAACACAATATAAAGATAACGTAACGTGAGAAACAAGTCGCTGGGATACATTAGCGAAAAATTGGTAAATAAACATGGTTAGTGTATGTAGCGTCAACTATATCAACTAATCGAGTTTTAACGCTATATTTGTGTAACGAAGAAATAATTTCGAGAAATTGCTTCATCAATCACTCCAATGTTGGTATTTGCAACTTAAAGAAAGTGGGTAACGAGAGCCTGTTGGTGACAGCTTTCTTAAAGCAATTTGTTCCCGCTAGAGGCCGCAACTGAAAAATAGAACTAAGAAAATATGCAATATACTTTTAAATAAAACACTTTAAAGGTTTAAAACGCGATTTATATTAGTCAAACTTATTTGAACATTATTTTAACTACGGGCCGACATTTCGTTTTTAAAACCGTTTTAATTAAACGTGGACTACTCGCGTAAACTACAGACAGTTTAAAATACTATATACGTTAATATCATTGGTCTTCAATATAAAAAATTTTTATTTGTAATAAGAATATCATATTTCATACGATAGACATCAAATAATTAATAACGATAAAACATATACTTTACTCTTTAATTACAAACGTGGTCTGAAGCTTTTGAAGGTGCATAAATATAAAATCGAATTATTTATAAATTTCAGACATCTGGCACAACAACGGAACTTACTTAACATAAAATATCTGCATAACCGTCGAAATTCCGCTCACATTCTGGGTCCGTTTTAATAGTAGTGTTTTTAGCAATTAAATAGATTTGCCCTGCCTAGCCTATTTATTAGGTGCTAGAAAATCGAATCCATGACCACTCACGGTTAACGCAACCTCAAAAACGGTGGCTATGGGCACAGTATATCTATAAAAATACGATAAGTCAGGCAGTAATGTGTAAAAATAATAAATTATATCTGTGAAATGTTTACTAATTAAAACTGCATCAATTTGGACAACCCAAATGATTTAAATAAAACAATTTTAACGGTTTAAATCGCGAAATATATTCTATATCTGAGTTATAATTATTAACTACAGCATGATGTTTTGTATGCTTTTTAGAAGCAGTGATCACGGGGGTAAGGGATCGTAACGCCCATGTTAAACCGTTAAAAGTGTTTTATTTAAATCTACTCGCGTAAACTACAGACTTAGGTACAATTTATTATGGGAACAATTATTCCCGCACATTGTTGGTCTAAGCGCTTATTAATAAACAATGAATCGAGCTTGGCCCGTGAAAAACTTATATTGAAAATAATTAAAAAGCAGTGCGTGAGTCACGCTCGGGAAACCCGAGTTTAATCAATGCGGATTGTACCAACAATACCGTTTGTTTTAAGCGCAAAGCGTATTTCGTAATTCTACAAATTTCACAAACAATACACAGCCGTGGGCGAAATGAAAAGCTTTCATTATTTTTATAGTTCGATAAATAGGTCAGTGTGAAATGCACGGATTGAAACATATGAAAACTTATTTTAAGAACATGTTTTTTGGTTGTGTAAAAATGGACAGTTGCAAAAAATTCAGTATATTTAAAACCTGTAATATGTATTTTCAGTACGTAATTATGTTAGTTTTAAAGTCAGTTTCAGTGGGTATAAATGGAACTGGGTTATTTGTGAAATATGCTAAAAACAATCTTCGACAGTTTAAAAATGGAAAATTATAAGATTCAAATTGCCCTGAAGATGTATTTTAAACGTTATGTTTACTTTTACCCCACTCGGGAAGAATTTATTTTCCATTCAACGGTGTTCAATCAATATTAACTATATTTAAA